TGCATAATCCCTTCCCCCTTAATATTAACCCCTACCCCAAACAATAAACACCTCAGACAGTTTTTATTATTATGGATGTATTTTTGGGAAACCCTAAACAAATATTTTTTTAAAACATGCGATTTTAAAATCAATTAAAATGACCTTTTATACCGCACTTAAAATATTTCCAGAAATTGGATTTCGAAGCGGACCCTAGGATATGACTAGGCCTGACCGTTGCTCTTTGCTGTAGGCAACTGGTTCGCCCGCTATTAATGGATTTAAAACATGACCCCCACCTTAACGAAATTAATCCAGGTGGACCGTTGGTTATCCAATTATTTTTTCCAATTAATTTTGATTTGGATTGTTTTTTCCGAGAACTCCATTGTTCGAGGATGAATTTAAGTTGGGGGTACCCAAATTAATTTAGTTTGAATGCTTGAGAATGAGAGTGGGGCCACTTCGAATTGATTTGGGAATGTTTCGTCAAACACCTCATCCCAGCTCAATTAAATTTGGATTTTTAATGACGCTAAATCTAGCTGGGTGGCATTTACAAGGAAGAAAATGCGTTTGGAAAAAAAGTTATTGATTGTTTTTCAAATGATTTTGAGAAGTTTATTGCAAACAAAAAATCCAATTAATTTCTGATATCACCAACCATTGTTTTTTCCTCCCAGTTTGCGTGGACACGCGTAAAATTAATTTGGTGGCGGGTGTACGAGCGCAGGACTCAATAATTGTAATGACCTGAAATCTAACTGGGTGGCATTTACAAATAAGAAGGTGCGTTTGGAACAGAATTGCGTGCAATGAGAATTGAAAACCTATTTCAAAAAACTACACGAACAAATGCATACCCAATCCCTTGTTTTTGCGCCAACAAAGTTTTTCCTTTTTCCCAGTTCGCGTGGCCACACATAAAATTCATTTGGAGGTTCGTGTTCTAGTACAAGACCCAATGATTGTAACGACATTAAATCAAACTGGGTGGCATTTACAAGTAAGAAGATGCGTTTGGAAGAAGATTTTAATGACTGTGCGCAATGAGAATTGAAAACCCAGTGACACCTCAGGAACGCGCCAACAAAGTTTTTCCTTTTTCCCAGCTCGGGTGACCACGCGTAAATTAATTTCGGGGTGGGTATGCTAGTACAGGACTTAATGATTGTAATGAAACTAGTAATGTTGGATGGACAATAGTAAAGCGCGTGCAATAGCTACAAATAATGTTCAGAATCTGATTTTTCAGCGCCTCATAGACACCCCTTTGAAACCCCAGAGAAATTCCAAAGAACCACCATGGAAATCCCATAGAAATCACACAGGGATCCACTAGAAATCTATAGAAATACCATGGAAATCCCACAGGAACCCAATAGAAACACCATAGAAATATCATAGAACCATCAAAGAAAATCCAAAGAAACTTCATGGATTCCCATAGAATTCCAAAAAAAAATCCTCTAGAAATATCATAGCAACCTTGATTAAATCCCATAGTCCTCTCATAGAAATATCATACCTTCTTCCTTGGTGTTTTTAATTGTGGTTGAATTGTTTTTAATTGTGATTATATACATCTTTTCAAAAGCAAAAATAAAGCAAACCTTTACAAAAACAAAAACATTACCTTGTTCAAAACACCAGAATTCTCCTGAAAAGACAGAAATTTCCTTAATGTATTGTTTCTTGCCCTAGCTGTTTTTTTTTCATAGAAAAATTAAAGAAAAACCATAGGGATCACATAGAAATCTGATAGAAATCCAATGGGAATCCCATAGACACCCCTTTGAAGCCCCAGAGGGATTCCAAAGAACCACCATGGAAACACCTTAGAAATCACACATGAATCCACTAGAAATCCCATAGAAATACCATAGAAATACCATGGAAATCCCACAGGAACCCAATAGAAACACCATAGAAATATCATAGAACCATCAAAGAAATGCCAAAGAAACTTCATGGATTCCCATAGAATTCCCAAAGAAATCCTCTAGAAATATCATAGCAACCTTGATTAAATCCCATGGTCTTCTCATAGAAATATCATACCTTCTTCCTTGGTGTTTTTAATTGTGGCTGAATTGTTTTTAATTGTGATTGCATGTTTTTCAAAAGGAAAAAACAAAGCAAACCTTTACCAAATCAATTTTTTTACCTTGTTCAAAAAAAATGGTTTCTTTATTACAACCCTTTTAAAAAAAATTGGCAAAAAAAACAGTTCCACAAAGGGTACCCCCTTGCAGGCCCTTGCATTTGCAATTAAAAATTGGAAGAAACACCTGCAATAAGAAACAACCTTTCTGGTTCTAGCTGTATTTTTCCACTTCTTCCTTAGTGTTTTTAATTGTGGTTGAATGGTTTTTAATTGTGATTGCATGTTTTTCAAAAGCAAAAACAAAGCAAACCTTTACCAAATCGAAAACTTTGCCCCTGCTGTGTCCTCTCAGGCTCTGTCCCCCCCCCAGCCTCCCCCAGATTGTTCAGAAAATTTTGCACCAGAATCAGTTGCTACCAATGCTGGCTACCAGAATGACATACTTCAGTTTGCCCCCCAGGGCTATCAGAATGATGTACTTCAGCTTTTCAATTTGCAGCACTCTAAAAAAAGGCAACATGAATCAGAAACCAATCAGAATTTCAATCCAGAACCTTTGAAACATGAACCAGCCAACATGAACCAGAAATCATGCGGAAACTACCGGAAGCTTTGTCACCAGACACTTCAAAGACATTTCAAAAAACAGAACCATATTTCAGAAGATGCACCCACATGCATCAGATTTTTGCCACCAGAGCTGCTTGCCAGATAGTTGGTGACTGGCTTCCAGCATCGATCAGAGGCCATCAAGTACAACAAAAGAGAAAATGACTTCTCAGCAAATTAAAGCAAATTCATATCATATCCTATCATGTTCAGAAAATAATTATCAGATTCAAATATTAGCTATTCACTCACCAGAAGTCATGCAGAACCAGATCTACTCAGAAGCCATGCAGAAACTTGCCAGAGACTCCCCAATTGTTGTTCCAGAGTTCTCAAAGCAGAGTTGCAAAATTGCAAGGCCAGATCTCACAGAGGCCATGGATCACAACCAGGTGCTGCAGCAGAAGCGATCCTGCAATCAGCCAACATGAATCAGAAACCAATGAAAATCAAATGCAGGACCTTTCAAAAATGAATCAGCTAATATGAATCAGAAACCAATGGGAGTCCATGCAGAATTTTTCAAACATGAATCGGCCAACATGAATCAGAAACAATGCACAAACAATCAGAACCTTTCCCCCCAAACATGCAGACAACTAAAGAAAACCAAGGCCCCAGTACCAGACCAGCAGAGCAGCACCAGCTGATCACCAGATGCTCACATCATGGCCTCCCTCCCCCTCTTCATCACAGCTTTGGTTACTGCACTCAGAGGCGGTGGCTTCAGAAACTCCAGAGGCCAAACCACCTGCAGGGAAACAATTAAAAAAAACGTGAGCAAATTAAAAAAAACAGAACATTGCAGCCAATGAATAGTCCCAGGCCTGGGAAATCACCTGATCAGAATCTTTGCCATTAGCTTCAGCGGGCCCCAGAACATAGACAAATTGCTGCTGAGTCTCAGTGAAGCCTGGAATAATGATCAAGTCACAGTTTTTGACCCAGAGAGCCCAGAGTTCAAAGCCTTCAGGCAGAGTGCAATCAGCAGGAGACACAGCGATCTCAGAAGCGCAGAAGCAAGGAATCCTCAGAAACATGAAGCTCCAAACCGGAACAGTAAACAGAATAAACAATTATATTTATATTTATATATATATATATGCTATAAATATTATATATAAATATATATGTATATTATATGCTAAATATATTAATTACTTTAAATATACTAAATATATATCCTATATTCTAAATATAATGCTTAAGAGCCAGCCAAGAAACTCGTTCCAGACCAGCACCAGATTTCTGTGCACAGCAGCCACATTCAGAGAACTCATGCCAGCATCGGTGGACTGGTACAGCAGCTCACAGGCACAGGACAGCCAGGCCATTAGGCAGATCCATTTCCAGAGGCAAGGAGGCCCACCTTTGCCCAGATGCTGCTCCATCCTAAGCAGGTTCAAGAATTAAAAAAAAATAGCAAAGAAGAAAAAAAACAAAAGTAAACCACAAACACATACAAAAATTGAAAAAAATCAAACAGAAAACAAGTAACTGCCAGCGCACTCTGCCTATCAGAACAGCATATGTGCACTGGCCAGAGCTGTGCACATAGCCCCTGCCATCTTTGGCGCCCTGTAGGCAGAGATCTCCTGCTGCAGGTTGTCCAGGGACCTGGTGGCCACCCTGTTCCTCTTGTCAGGATCATTCAGATGATCCAGAGAACCAAGGCCAGCACCAGCACCAGTCTCAGCAGAGATACCCATGGGCAGAGACATCGACATGATCAGAAGACCAGAAAGCGAGTGAGACAGAGACAAAGGAATGCCAGAGATCTAGGCCAGAATGCTGCAAATTCACAACAGAATCAAATGAAAATCATCAGAAAACCTTGCAGAAAAAGCATCTAGATTCCAATGAGGCACTTGCAGAAGACCATGCAGAATCCAATGGACAGCTTCTGAAAAACCAGCAGGACCCAGTGAACATCATCAGGAAAAATATATATATAGAGAGTATATATGGTATATATAGTATATATAGTATATATAGTATATTTAGTATATATAATATGTATAATATATTTAGATATATATATATATATATACATGCAGAGGCTGCACAGAATGCATCAGAATCCAATGAAACCCTTATCAGAAACCATCAGGACCTAATGCAATCAGAAGGCCATCAGACTTTCACAGACTTCCATTAGACTCTCAACTCTCAGATAGAACAGAATGCAACTACACTGGGAAAAGCAGACTTTCCAGCTCCAAGAAAATCAGAACTAGCCAGCAGTAATGCGGGGTTCGATCAGAATGTCCAGCTTTACACCATGAGCTCTCAGATAATCACCATGCCACTTCAGATCCTGCAGAGTGCCACTCAGCAGAGTGATCACCACACACAGCAGTGCCAGCTGCAGAAACTCTCCCAGGGTCACCAAGCCATAGCCCACCAGCACATGCCCACCAAATGCCAGAAGCAGCTGCCAGATGTAGACAAAGATCTGGCAGCCCAGAGTGGCCAGATCCAGGATGCAACCAAGGGCTGTGTCCCACAGATCAGGCAGCAATGGCATGGCCAGACTATCACAGAGCAGATCAGACTACCACAGCTACAGAAGCATCAGACCATTCTTCAGAATCCATCCCAGGTACAGAAAATCCAATGAAAATCCCATCAGGGCCTATCAGAAAACAGAGGTTCCCAATCAGAATCCAATGAAGATCCCGCCAGAGCCTGTCAGAAAACAAAGGTTCTCAATCAGAATCCAATGAAGATCCCACCAAAGCCTATCAGAAAACAGAGGTTTCCAATCAGAATCCAATGAAAATCCCATCAGGGCCCATCAGAAAAGAGCGGATTTGTCAAAACCTTACAGAAGCCTTTGCGGAAGAGTTTGGATTTTCGGTTTACTATTGCAAAGCAGACCCCCCCCTTAAAAAAAAATACGGGGGAACCCTCCTTTATTAATATCGATGTAACATTACAGTACAGTTTCCGAGTGACATCTGCAATTATGGGTGTGTGTGTTTTGCTGCAGTGGCGCAAGGCCAAGGGCGGCGTACGGGCAGTTTTCGGGCACCATAATTTTGAACAACTTCCATTTTCCCGAACCTTTGGATACATACCTTCATTCTACCTAAATAATTTATCTAACCACATCCCAATTAATTAGAAGAAATTATTTGGGGTCCCCTGCACCCAAGAAGACATTGTAATTAGTTCCACCACTCTTGAAAAAATTGCCTGAAATTAATTTAGGTGGTGGGGACAGAACAATTTATCACATCTAGGTGGAGGAGAAGTGCCGCCGAGGAAATTAAGGGACCTTTGGATTAATATTCTAATTAATCGAGGTGGGGGACCACCTTGGGTACGCTTTAGGGGGTAGTCATTTTAAAACCTTAATTTCGAGAAAAAAATTGATTTCAAAATCAATTAAATTTTCAAAATCTAATAAATTTCCAACTATAACGCAATTAAAATATTGGCAAAAATTGAATTTCGAAGCGGACCTTATTAATAAAATGAACACTTGAGATTAAAAAAATTAATTCTTTCAACGGAGTCAAATATTACCGAAATTTGGATTTCGAAGCGTTCCCCTAATATGAAATTAAAAATCTGAATTTAAATTACTTTACTTCGTGTGATCCCCACCATGACATTGATACATTTTCTTACTGGCAAATCTTCTGGCATTTTATCTGACATATCTTCTGACATTCTATTTGGCATTCTATCTGGCATATGATCTGGCATATCTTCTGGCATTCTATCTGGCAAATCTTCTGGCATTCTATCTGGCATATCTTCTGGCACTCTATCTGACATTTTATCTGGCATTCAATCTGGCATTCTATCTGGCATATTTTCTGGCATATATTCTGACATATCTTCTGGCATTCTATCTGACATATCTCCTGGCATATATTCTGACATATCTTCTGGCATATCTTCTGGCATATCTTCTGGCATATCTTCTGGCATATCTATCTGGCATATCTTCTGGCATATTTTCTGGCATTCTATCTGGCAAATCTTCTGGCATTCTATCTGGCATATCTTCTGGCATATTATCTGGCATTCTATCTGGCATATTTTCTGGCATATATTCTGACATATCTTCTGGCATTCTATCTGGCATTCTATTTGGCATTCTATCTGGCATATCTTCTGGCATATCTTCTGACATTCTTTCTGACATTCTTTCTAACTTTCTTCTGCACATTCTTTGTCCCATATCTTCCTACATGAGGTCCGGCAGGGAACACTTGGCGTGGATACTCGCGGTTGAGGTCCGGCAAGGAACACTGGGCGTGGCTGGTCGTGGTTGAGGTCCGGCAGGGAACACTGGGCGTGGCTGGTCGTGGTTGAGGTCCGGCAGGGAACACTGGGCGTGGATGGTCGTGGTTGAGGTCCGGCAGAGAACACTGTGGATCGCGGGTCGCAGTTGGACGAGGACGACGAGGACGACGAGGACGACAAGGACGACGAGGATGACAAGGAGGACGAGGAGGACGAGGAGGAGGCAGGAGGCATGACGAGGCAGGAGGCGGCAGGAGGCGGCAGGAGGAGGAGGAGGCAACTGACATAAAATCTAACAACCCTCACCTGGCAGGTGGGGAAAAACTACAATTTTCACGGGCCCTAATACGAAAAATTCGGAGTTAACTGAGTTTTTTTTGTTAGGTGGCGAAACCCTCAAATGGTAGTTTTATTTTCCAATTTCTTGCTAAAGGGGACCAATTAAAAGGCAAATTTGCCACCTAGCATTTTCACCTTCATATCAGCCAGATCATCATGTCATCATGTCATCATGTCTCGGGCGCGAAACCCTGCGTTTTCTCGGGTGAAGTCGCTTTTGCGGTCGTCGAAGTAGAATCTATGTTTCCGCGGTTTCGGGTTTCGATGTGCAAAAGCGGTCGACGAAAAAATGCACAAAATTGTAGCGAGAGCTCGGTTTCATAAAAATATCGTTGCAAAAAAAAGGTCAGAACATTTTTGGAAGATGGGACCGACAAAAAGCGCACAGGACTGTAATGGAAGTTCGGTTTCACATACAAACCGTAAAAAATTGAGCGTTTGGAATCCTTGTGGAAGATGGGGTCAGCAAAATGCGGACGAGACTGCCGCGAAAGTTCGGTTTCACACAAAAATCGTAAAAAGTGCGGTGTTCAGATCACTTTTGGAAGATGGGGTCGGCAAAAGGCGCACGAGACTCTAGCGAGAGCTCGGTTTCACATAAAAATCATAAAAAACCAGGACGTTCCAAGCACTTTTGGGGGATGGGGTCGGCAAAAAAATGTTCCTCCCTCCCTGCCTTCCTTCCTTCCGTCCTTCCTTCCTTCCTCTTCCTTCCTTCCTTCCTCCCTGCCTGCCTGCCTGCCTTCCTGCCTTCCTTCCTTCCTTCCGTCCGTCCGTCCGTCCTTCCTTCCTTCCTTCCTTCCTCCCTCCCTCCCTCCCTCCTTCCCCTCGTTCTTTCAGTTCAGTTCAACTCAGTTCAGCCCAGTTCAGTTCAACTCAGTTCAGCTCAGTTCAGTTCAGTTCGTTTCAACTCACTTCTTTTCAGCCCACCAAAAATCATGATGATGCTGACTATGATGATGATGATGATGATGACGACTGATGACTGATGATGGTGATTGTAACCATGACGATGATGTTGACGCTGATGATGCTGATGATGCTGAAGCGGTGTGGTGCGGTGTGGCGTGACGGGATGAAATGCAAAATGATGTGATGTCACGGAAGGAAACCTTCACGTTTGTTTTGATTCATGTTCTCAATCAATGTTTCGTTCATCCGTCACCATAAGCACCATTGTGTGGTTGTAAAATTTACACCCGCAAACCAACGCCCACCCTTTTTCAATTTTCCCCTCTTCTATTTCAACGTGCGATCAGCAGATATTTGGTGTGATGTTACGGCATACCCTGATATCCAATCCGTTGTTGAGCCGTGCGACGACCAAACATATTTGCTTTGATTTCTCGGTATCCAAAATGGTGAGGCCCGTGCATTTCCAATCATATTCATTGTTCGAATGTGCCGGCGGCGCAGGCGTTTGCGGACGCCGCCCGGTTATCATCTTCAGATGTCTCGTGGAAACGGGACGCACCACCCGCAGCGGATGCAGAGGAGCATGCCGGAAAAACGGCCGTGAATGAGGCGAACCAATCCCAAAACCTTTGCATTTGGTTGTGTTCATTTTTTCGGGGCAAATCTACGGGCGCAGGAAGTTTTTTATGATTTCTATGCCACCTTCAGAGGAAGCAGTGACCCAGCAGCACTATGGCAAACTCAAGTTTCAAGCGCTCGGGCGAAAATTAAAATATAATATAATATACTGTAATTCGCTCATGGTTTGTTCTGGCCATTGCGTAACGCAGTGCAGTGTCTGTTGCTGCGCATGTCCCACGCCAGGTGTATTGCGGCAGTTGCTTGCAAAAAAATAAAAAAATAAAAAATAAAAATATGTTACCGTTTCATTTCGCACGGTTTGGTTTCACACACGTGCTAGGAAAAGAGCATTGATTCATGTTTCTTTGGACGTCATGTATGCCCGGGTTTGAACTGAAGGAAATATCGTTTGCTAGAAACACGTTTTTTGCTATTAATAGCACTCATATAATGGAAACCCTTAGAAAATTTTATGCACACATTTCCAGGTCATGCCGGCTTCTGATACTTCAGTGCGCGACATGGAATGACAATTGCTTTCCGGTTCACGGCATTAACTTCAACAGCGATGCACTGCGAGTACCACACCCCGGTTGTGCTTTGCAAAAGATTTGAAAAGACGAACCACAAACAAACAAAACATCGGAATGTCAAAACATTGTAATTTCACAACGTTTAATTATTCGAATTGCATCAGGAGCACGGTCGCCCAGGCGGACCTTCCCAAGTGTGGGAAGACATCGTCCAGGCGCAGGGAGGACCCCAAGTGTGCCAACAAAACTGTTGCAGGTGATGACCACTTCAATGATGCTCTTCGTTTTTTTGGCACATTCCAAGAAGGTTTTGCGGATTTCACTCCTGACCATTGTTTTACCAGACACATATGGGAAATTAGCGGGCATATCCGTTGCAGGCGGCACTTTGCTGGACGGATGTCATTGATGCTGAAGTCTTTATCGCCGTAAATGTGCCAGGGTGCTCAGGGAGTTCGTCGCGAAACCCATTCTGTAGGTAGTGGGGATGTGAGCGGCGAAATATTTTCCAACATTGTGATGCGGAGGGTGCCCCGGTACGATTTTGCATGAATTCAATTGAACATATTTTTTGACGCCTTGGATTGCACAAAATGAACCCAAACCTAGTTTCTTCAACGATTTCTCTTCCACTGACGCCTCCGACCCACCATCCCCATCCAGAAGTTCGTCTTATTATGATGTGGGAAATCACTTGGTTGTGACGTTTGAATTAGGCCATGTTTGTGAGTTGTTCAAGACATCGAGGAAAAAATCGTGTATACGTGTCCTGACACAGACGGAAATGGTTTGAAGTCTGGGGGGGCGACACACTTGCTCGAACCACAAGCCCTGGGAATGTACATGCGAAGCATTCATAGGGATGACATAAATAGCGTTTGGGACAAATCCCGTTAGATAGGCCCCGCATGTTGTAAACATTTGTTTCATCAAGCAGAAATATCAAAAATCACAGCCATCCTCTGCAGTTCGATCACGCCTCACTGAATGGAGATTCTATTGGGTTTGTTGGCTTGAGTTTTCCATCCCGGGTTTCACATAAAGTGACACTTGTGTAATTGGTCGCCACATTTTCATGCCCAACTATCTGGCTGTGAGCCTTGAGGTTTTCAATGCTCTCGTGGGTGCCAATGTGCGCCTTTCGCCGCTTCGGCAAGTGATTTCCAGAGAGGGCGGTGCAGGGCGGCGTTGATAAACCAACGTGCGTTGGAGTGAACGCTTAACATCGGTGTGATGTGCTCAGTAGTGAGTCAAAAACCTTGAGTTGCAATTTCAAGCAAATAGATTAATGGTGCATGTTTAAACAAATATGATCAAGAGAAATGGGCGATGGTTTTGGCGCATGCCTCAGCGCGAGACCTAATGAGAGCGTATGCCTCCAAATTCTAAGAGTGACTTAGGAATTTAGATGTTTCGAATGTTTTACCTCACGTCGAAGTAGTCACAATATGAGATGTCATTATATGCATTTCTTTTCGGGATATTTGTAAAGTTTTGCCACAAAAGCGCGCATTACAATGCCCGTGCCCAATCGCAACGTTGAGGGTATGACTAAATGTACACAGCAGCTACCATTCCGCAAGTATTTTTTAAGCGCTACTGAACAGTGTTTGTTGTGTATGGCATCCCTATGGATGTTCATGGTTCGCCTCGGCTGACGAGTTCCAAGCCTCTTGCGTGCAAAATACTTTGTAAACGTTGGCAATGTACAGATTTGGGAGTGCAGTGCCCAAGGTTTGGGTTAATTTTCGGGTTCAATGGTAGCCCGGCGGGTGAAAGCCCCACGCCCAGCTTTTAATTACAATAAAATTGACTTTGTCGTGGTACAACCATGGTTCAACCTCCGTTGAATGCAACCAATCCAAACGGCTAATTGTTCTTTCACCGGCTGACGCCAACCCCTAAACCAAGCATGCATCCCGAACAATTCATTCTATTATCCTATACGTGCGTCCTGCTTGACATTTGCAACTTCGTCACGAACTAGTTTGGCGAATGCAGGTTCCATCCCGCAACAGCCAGGAGCTTGTCACATGCTGACGGCCCAAGCCTTTGAACATTGGGTCCTGCACCAAGAAAATCGATGGTTTGGCACAGGGGGGGTTGTGCTGCTGCGTGCCACTTTAATATCGAAAAACGATTTCCGGTTCGCACAATTGATCCAGAATTGCAAGATCGGTGCCGGTATATGTTTCGCAGAAACAGCCAAACCTTTAACCACACTTTTTCGTAAAGAAAGTGCAGCTTTGGGTCACAACGGACAATTCCCAACAATTCCCAGCTTGACCCCTCCCTTAGTTCCTTTGTTGAAATGTTTAGACAGGCGCAAGGATGGTTAGTTGGTTTGTTAAAATCGTCTACATTATGTTTGTCAATTTCTTGCAAATATACATATTTTGTTCGGGTGCCAATATCTTGTCATGGTTCCAATATCAGTCCCATCTCAAACGGTTGCATCCCAGCCTTGGATGGTTGCAGCCCAACTCGTTAGAATGCATTTAGGTGCGCGATGTAAGTCCCAGCTGGCAAGTTGCCAGGCAGTCACCTTCATATTTTGATTACAAGCATGCAGTTGGATAACCCCCCGCAAAAGTGTATCCAAGGCTGGCTCATCCAATTTTTCAGTTTGGGCCGCCGGGATCGATTTTCATTCCACCTTGAGGCTGCACACCCTCAGCAACGAGTTGCCTTGAGCTGGGCGTGGTGGCTGAGGAATTCAGTTGTCGGGTCTGGTCTACTGGACCAATGTCAGCTTGCAACGGGGTTTTGGCAACTATGCAAGCTGGGCTGTGGGGGTTGGCCGGGTCATAAATTTAAATTTGTAGAACTTGTACCTAAACGAACAAGTCAAAATTGATAATTACTTATTTGCTGGATAGCCACGGTGTTTGCCACGAAAATTCATGCCTGTTCATGCCCGTTTCCAACGGATGATCAATCAAACGCAAACGTTCGATCCTATTATATTCTCCTTTTTCTGCCCAGCGACCGTCGAGGTGAGGATCCCACCAGAATGGCAAAGCGATTGCCTGCGCTTTATCGGGCAGCATTGCAGAAATGTGTTTCGCCTCAGATTGTGAGGGGTTAGGCAGGTCTGGGTTGGTGAACCCAATCTAGCCAAGCAGGTTGGATTCAAGCACGCAATGATAGCACGCTTAGCCAAGCTCAAGACAGCCACGCGTCCGGGCCTGCTTTTGAGACCTTCCATGGGGAAGTCATGATACTGTAGGCATCTGCAGACATTTTCTGTAGCCGATGCTGTCACTGTTCCTCATGCATTTTCCCCAGGAAGTTGGTTGACATCTTCTCCTTGGTGATTCCTTTGTCCGGCTGGCGTATCTGCCCGTAGTTAATTCCACCGTAATTTGTTTGTAGTTTTTGTGTAATCATCAATCATATCGACATAATTGCCCTTGCCTTTCTTTGGCGTCTATTTGGCAGATTTCCCTGACGTATTTCGGTGATTTCACATGCTTCCAGTGTAAATGCAACAAGGGCTGGCCTTCGGCGATTTTTTTGCCAAGAAGTTACCGTACGATATCGTAGGTTTTTTGTGTTTATGTGTTTTTGTCTCCCGTACAAATGTGTAAATGTAAATAGGATTTTATAGGTTTATATTTTTATGCGTGCATTTTGGCCGTTCTATTTTTGAATCTGACATGCTTTTCTCAATGTAAAATCAAGCAATAAAAACAACACGACAAAACCAACAGCCAAATTCCAAATTCAACAAGGCATGACTGTTTCCTACACAATATCAAGTTCAGTAGGGTTTCTCGCCTGCCGTGGTTGTTCTTTTTTGGACATGTGCCAGCTCCAGGTCCGCCAGCTCGCCGTGCGCGATACCGCGCACTTCGGCGAAAGGCACGGCAGACGCCCCACTGGTCAAGGATCCGTTCTTTCACCGACTAGATTCCATCCTTTCCACGAGACCGTATGTATGTACGTACGTACGTATGTACGTACGTACGTACGCACGGTAATGTATGTGTTCAATGTCAACACTGGATTAATAAACCCCTGGGCTGTTTAATTGGGAGGGTACCATTTAAGTATTAGATCATGACTATTGGAGGATTACCCGCTTAATTAATATACCATGGTTTATTAATCCAGGGTTGACATTATATGTATGTAATGCCATAATGATAGGATTATATATCATTATATCACTAAATTTGTATGTAGGTAATTCAATTTTTCGTACCTAGAGGTGTTCTCATGCAAGCGGGGATTTTCCCATCACCACGTAATATTACAGTAGGAGGATGTGAAGCATGTTTCCTCCTGGTCGTCATACACGCTTTCCAGAAACATGTTTCCTTGGAAAATTTTCTTTGGAAATGGAAGGGTTTGCAGCCAGCCAGGTTCAGTTACCACAGGGAAAGGTGGTATAGTTCATACAGGTCATTGCTCAAGGCATCAAGACAAGTCAATAAACACATGGTTCGCTCATTTTTTTGACGTTGCACCATCCCAGACCATCCCCTTCCTGGGGAGCTGACATTTAATTACTTTTTGGTTTGCCGGAAACCACAAGAAGAACGGCCCACATGAAAGTTGGATTTTGCTTGTGGCATTCAATCTTCATGACCCTTACATATTGCATGTTTTGGCGCGTGTGGAAGCCGACTGACGATTGATTGTTGCTTTATAAGCGATCAGGCGACACATTGATGGTTCATAGCGCCACACTCCCCGGCACTACTTTCAGCATTCCTTTCGATCAACTGGTTGGATGTGTTGTTTACTTCGTGACATCAGGTGGTCGAGTTTCATTCAATTGTTTCAGTGGGTTTGTTATGCTGCGAAACCAAGCGGGTGCGCATTCGAACAAATGTCCCCATAGATCCTACGTTTTTGCGCCAACCAAATTGAAACAACCAAAGGATCACAAATGAAATGTCCTGAGATGTGGCATGTCATGTCCCAATGTTTTTCAATTAGAATATGTTCGCGTAAAACGTGCACAGTTTAGACATGACACAAGTGTTTGTAAAGATGTTTCTTGCACATGGGCAGGTGTATGAACAGGCGGGTTGAATGATTGCATGAGGTGTGCATGAGGTAAACACTTGGATCGCCTGCAAAATGCCACCAAAAACAGCACGATCTTACCACACGTCGCAGTTCAAAACTAGGGTTCTGCTTTAATGTTGGCTAACGCATATCAATTTGAAATGCCCCGTCCCAATTTAACCATCAGGCTCACTCTCGTTTATATGCGGTTCGTACCAGATACCCAGATACATGTGACAGGGAACTGCTTCGTTTGGTGTGTGGCATGCGGCTGATGGAATCCTTGCAGGCCGTAGATCCCGGGGAAGTTGGCCCCGGTGAACCCAAACCACCGAAAGTTTCGGGTAGTTTCAATGTCAAGAACTAAGTGTATTTACTTGGACAGGTATACCTCATGGCTCAACCCCCAGTGAATCAATAAGGGTAAGCAATCCTAATTGATCATTTGTGTGGGAATCACTTCCCCAAGTTCTATTAATCCGGGGTTGACATAGAATGATGGCACGCGGAGGATAAGGGTCCATAAAAAGATGACGAAAAAAATCGACGGTGTGAATGGAGCCTTCATAATTTCCCAATGCACTTCATCCATCGCTTAGCCCGGTGGATTTTGCACACATTTGCAATGCTCCACCTTCATTCATTTGAGTTGAAACTGGTATAGTCGGTATAGTTTTTTTCTGCTGTTCCGTACTCGCACGCTCTATTTGGCAAGGCGGTAAATGCCTGTTATCAAAGCATTATCACTACTTGGGGTATGGGGGAAAACCAGGAACCACTCATGTATATTCAGTCTGTTGGTCAGACCGCGTGGGCATTTTTCTGCCCAGGTCGATGGGTCCTCCTTCGGTGCTGGCTTTCCCGATCCCCAGCGGCTGTTTGGCAGTGTGGAACTTGGTTTGGCGCGCTACAGCAATGAGTGAAATGGCAGGGCGGAGGTTCCAGATTTATGTTTTCATTGAAGCCTACCGGCATATTTGGTTACAACATGTTAATTACAATTCTTGAAGCCATGGTCTGGCCCACCAGACTCAGTCACTGCAGTGTATTTCATGTTGGGACCCGAGCAGTGACCATGCACTTCACTATATCCACCTGCAGGGTTGGCCAAGTATTGCCCACGGTTGCAGCACATTGCCCGGCAGCCAGGGGGTTTGTCGGGCGGTCCTGGGGGTTCAGCAGACGTAATGTGGAAATTATTTTGCGGATGAAATTTGGAGGCAAGTAATGAGGGAGTCTTGCGAGCCTAGAAGGGTATATGTAATTGTGCTTATGTTTGTTCATTTTGTTGGATTGGATAAATCAAAGTGAGATGCAACCGAGCCTGTCCGGATTCTTGACATGGTGACTGTTTCGGGGATATATGTGATATATGATTTATGGTTTCTCTGAGATCCACAACCTTGGTTCTGGGAGGCCTTCTGTGGTTGGCCGAAACAAGTGGAAGTTCCCATCCATAGACGGTTAGGCCATGACACGGCCATGTGGTGCGAAACATGTTTTGTTGGAAAAGGGTTCCTGATCAAGCGTTGGTACCTCGTTTGTTCACCATTCCCAGAATTTACATTTTCATTGCCACTGGTTTTATTTCGAAGAGTTGGTCACGGATGTCTTGTAGTAAAGGAGCGGATTCGGATGCTTGCTTCCATTAAACAGCGGTGAGCACAGCAAAATGCGTAAAAAGGCATGCAGAAGATCAGCTAAAGTCTGCTAGCCTCGTGGAAAAAAGTTTCTGGGCACCTTGCTGTGAAGATCAGAAGGCGTACCTACAAACATTGGAGGTCAACAGTGTGACGACCATGCGAACAATGATAGGACTGGGTCCAAAGCTGGCCGCTATATCACGGCGGAGGGGATGTTGGGGGCTATGAGCATCCCGTTTTTTCTAGTGGTGGTAAGTGGCGATATTGATACGTGGTGCTGACAATCAAGATGTCCCAGGAAGAGCATGGAATGTGGCATTCTTTTAGCCATTTGGCCATTCAAACCGAGACGATCCCCATATTTTTCTTGACTATCCAAGGTATGATATATGCTTGAAATACACCCAGGTGTGCTTACTAAACCAGGACTCTTTCACCCTGTAAGTATACAAATAATTTGTTTGCGATTTGATTTTTTCATGTTAGTGCATGTTCTTGGTTGCTGCGCATCTTCACAAGACTGCTGACCATCACCATGGCTCAAATCGCCTTGGAATCGTTTCTTCCCCCATTCCACGCAGCACCCGGCTGCTGTGCCAAGGCCATGAGTTTTCGCCCAGACATGCCTTCACAGCGGGTCGTGTTTGAGGTGCGGGGGGCAGCATCCCCGAAATTTTCCGAATGAAACTCAAAAGGGAAAATTGAAACCATAATTAGCACCTTCTAACACATCATCGATCAATATCGTATGAAAGATTCTTGCGGGATCCAGGGCTGCCATCATAATGTTTACCGCAGGAGAAGGTGAAAGTCCATCAGCAAGCAAGCTGAGGTCCGCTCCTTGGCATGTCTGGGACGGCGCTTGCTGACTTTGGATCTGGGTCCGGGCGGCTTGGATTGGGCGGCTGGCACCGTGACGATCTACAAAAAACTGCAAGATCCAGCGAAATAGTGTTGGTTTAATCAAGAAAAACCAGATTGACTATAGAAGAAATTGCCTTCAATGCCATAAGTGAGGTTGTGTCAGACCCTTGTTTGGCCAGTTCTACTTCCAGCTGCTGTGATTCCAGTGTTTAGTTGAACCGGGGTCGGCGCGGTTTTTATCGATATTTGATCCACCCAGGAACGCCTTGGTGAGTTGGAGGGACCGGAAATTTGAGAGACATTCCAACTTACATACCTCAATTTTTGTTAGTGTCATTGACAATTTGTTGGAAATCCAGGTCATGCTCTGACGGCGTGGCCCAACCTGGCCACGTTTGATGATTTTGATGGATAGGCAGGTTTGAGCACCAGCCACTGTCAGTGCTAGGTGCTGTGGCAGTGCGAATCTTCGGTGGGTCCTGCACCATTGCCACGTTGGGATGCCAAAGACGGGGGCGGCTAGTCCAGTGGATCTTTGCCCTCACGGTCTCAGGTGCTGCCCTCAACTTCAACGTGGGGTGCCCCAAATTTCTGATGCCTTAGCAGCAATGACCAGGAACGGCCCCAGACTGATTGAATGTTGAGTCTTGAGTATCGGGTGTTGGGTCTTGGTTGTTGGGTCTTGGTTGTTGTTGTTGTTGTTGTTGTTGTTGCTGTTGTTGTTGTTGTTGGTATTTTTTTTGTTGTTGTTGTTGTTGGTATTTTTTGTTGTTGTTGTTGTTGGTATTTTGTTGTTGTTGTTGGTATTTTTGTTGTTGTTGTTGTTGTTGTTCTTGTTGTTCTTGTTGTTCTTGTTGTTCTTGTTCTTGTTCTTCTTCTTGTTCTTCTTCTTGTTCTTCTTCTTGTTCTTCTTCTTGTTCTTCTTCTTGTTCTTCTTCTTGTTCTTGTTCTTCTTCTTGTTCTTCTTCTTGTTCTTCTTCTTGTTCTTCTTCTTGTTCTTCTTCTTGTTCTTCTTCTTGTTCTTGTTGTTGCTGTTGCTGCCTATCAGAATCCATTTGGGATGTTGTGCTTCATGACTTGGAAACAGCCAGGTCGCTAGGTCCAGGTATATGCCTTATAGACCGCCGCTTGAAACGGGAAGAGGAAAAAGACCAGTGCAACAGCAACAGCAGCAACAAAGCCAGAATTGCGATACGGGAACGCATGGAACCTGAGAATGGCAGCCATTCTTCACAAGCTTGCCTCTTGGAGGCTTAAGTGTCCAGCTGCATCAGCAGTTCCAGCCGGACGTCCCTCACTCAGCTTGGGACGCTTGAGGGCAAGGCTGGCGAAACAAGTAGGCATGCAGATATTGCAATGCATACATGGGCCTGGGTTAGAATCCTGTACCACTGGTTAGCATGGGTTAGTACTAGTAAAAAAGGCTAGTGCTTCGCGTATCAATCTCCAGACGTTCGGTCAGCGAGGAAGTGTAATGCCTGGAATCCTGCTAGCTTGCTGTTCCATGCTGTTCGACCGGAGATGATTTTTCAATTTCCGGTCTGAGTATGTTTTTTCCCCTGGGGTCTGGACATGGCAGTCGCAAGACTCCCTCAACACCAACGGGGCCAGTGCAGCTCTTGCTCTTGAGGTGAAGTTATATTACATGTTAGACCACCAACATCTTCCAACCAGAACGTTCCAAGAGGACAAATTTTCAAGCACCATTATTAATCCCCAGTAATCCCCATTAAACCACCATTAATCCACCATTAATCCAAGTCTTGGATTTTTTGTGGGGGCCATGTCTTTTGCCACCCTGGATTGCTCCAGCCAGTGTCTCCAGGTGGTCGACCCCAATGACATCGCCCAAGGCTGTCCAATTCAGGAGGGGTCGGAGAAATTCGGACATGGACTGGGGCAGCAATGGAAGGTTTGAGTAGAAACTATCCATAGGTCTGCCTAATTCTACTTAGTTGATCTAACTTACCTATCTACTACTTATCTTTCAACCTATCTACCACATTTGTACCACATGTGTACCACATACGTACGTACGTGCATGCATACATACATACACACATACATACATACATACATACATACAGACATACAGACATACGGACGGACGGACGGACATACATTACATACAGACATACATACATACATACACACATACATACATATATACAAACATACATACATACATACATACATACATACATATACATTTACAAATACATACATATACTTACATACAAACATACATACATACATACATACACATATACATATATACATATATATTCATATATTCATACATACATACATACATACATACATACACACACGTACATATACATACATACATATGTTGTTACATATATGTATTTACACATACATACATAAACAGATAAGTGCATCAAGAAATAAACGAACATATAAGTAAATATATAAAGAATTACAACACACATTTACATACAGACAGACTGACCGACAGACCGACAGACCGAGAGACCGACATACATACATACATACATACATACATACATACATACATACACACAGACATACATACATACATACAGACATACGGACGGACGGACGGACAGACATTACATACAGACATACATACATACATACACACATACATACATATATACAAACAAACAAACATACATACATACATACATACATACATACAGACAGACAGACATACATACATACAGACATACGGACGGACATACATTACATACAGACACTCATACAAGTCTTAGCATCCGCGCACAATATCATTGTGTATGCGTGCCCCCTGGTATCCCAGACGTGCTGGGTTTGAACCACATGACTGACCGCAGGGGTCACCCCAGCGCAAGTTTGCGGCCACCTGACAGGACATGGACCTGGCTCCAGTGGATTGGAGCGATCTGATCTTGGAAAACTTCGTGACGCAGGCGTGGTCAACGGATGTTGGACCGTTGAGGTTACAAGGCTGGCTGCGAAGTTTGGCATATACATCTACAGTTTGTTGGGTTTACAAACAACATTACTACTTACCTAAGTTGGTTGACACCACTTTACACCCAGATGAAGCCTACGGTCTCAGATGATATTTATGAACTAGTTCATTGGTTCATGGTGGCAATAGACCAGCAAAGGTAACTGAGGGGGCACCACCTTGCAATCGGGGATGGTATGATAACCATTGGGGGATTCAACCAACAAAATTGGAAGGAAACAACCAATCATCATGGAGATATGATAGGAGTGTTTGAAAATGGGTCGGATACAACAAAGATGGCCACAAACCCATATGGGGAAATTATGTACAGGTTTTTCTCGGTCGGCGTCTGAATTTGTTATGAAGCCTGGAGCCATCTGATTTTGTCCATTTTTTGTGCGTATTGACGTGTTTGAGGCAGCTTTCCAAGTTGCTTCATGCAGAAAAAAAAGAAACCCTCGACTCAACAATTTGGCACTGCCAGGTGTTGTCGGCCAACAAAAAAGAATAGATTATGCTCATATTCAGCATGTTGATTTCCCATAGCAATGTTTTGTGTACTGGAGGGTGCCCCTGCTCGACCTAACGACCTATGCAATACGGAAACCATGAAATTGTAGGGTCCGCTGATCCTTTAAGCCACCGGTGCAGGCGCCCAATTTGAGACGGCTGGTGCTTCGGCACATTGCGCGCGGGGCCGAGGGCCTTTTGGGGGTTTGGTGGGATGCACTGGGATTGAATTGTCATTATTGAGGCTAAATAAGTGGCATAGGGAAAAGTAGGGGTTAGCTCGACAAAATCTTGAACTTGCGGACGTGCCACCAGGCACATGAATTAAGACCTTGACCAGAATATCCTTTGGTAATCAAGCGCATGGTTTAGTTCGATGGTTTTCCTATTTCAAAGTACTTCAGCATCACCACTTTTTGAAACGAAAATCATCAAACCAAAAAAACAAAAAAAACACCATGACTCAGGCCGCATGCCACGGCCATGCTGCTGGTGCCACTTGTGGCGATTTCCAGGTCTCTGGAGGTGACGAGGGAAGGGATCTGTCAGCCGGAGAAAGGGGTGTGATATCCCGGGTTTACTTGCAGCCCAGGAAGAAGATACCGAAAAGCAAAGTCTTTTACGATTCAATTAATTAAAGCATTGTTCCATTTTTTAACGGTAACTTCAAGTGATAGATTGCAAAACCCAAATGAGTATATATCCGACAAAATTATCAGCAATTGAAAGTAGTAGAGGGCTGCCTTGAACTTTGCTTGCCTTCAAAAACCTTCACAACCGATAGGGGACGACCCAGCACCGATACCCTTAGATCCCAACAAGTTCCCACAATAATCTGCAGCAGAGCGTTTATTTTTCTGCAGAAACGAGTGCGAACAAAGCTGTAAACAGCTACCTCAGCTAGCTTTCCTCTTAAAGAGCACCAAGAATATTGTTTGCGGAAATTCTTGCACCATTCCCACCGATACCCCAACCGATACTAGCCGGTGCCCAATCTTGCAATTTTTCTCACTTGCCAAGACCACGCCCCACGTACTACCCCCACCCACACACATACTCACACACAAACTCCCGCTGCTGCTGCTGTTGCTGCTGTTGCTGCTGTTGCTGCTGTTTCTTGCTGTTGCTGCTGTTGCTGCTGTTGCTGCTACTGCTACTCCTACTCCTACCCCTACTCCGACTCCTACTCCTACTACTACTAGTACTACTACTACTACTACTATTACTTAGCTAAACCCAAAAGGTCGCTGCGGCCTGTTTTTGAAGTTATTTAGACGTATTGAACGTGGGGGGGCGTACGGCCATCTGAGCGAGGGTACGGCGGGCGAACGGGGGGGGAACGGGGGGGCGAACGGGGGGACGAACCGGGGGGCGAACGGGGGGGCGAACGCACACATGCACACACGTACGCACATACGTACGCACAGACGTACGCACGTACGTTCGCACGTATGCACGTACGTAGGTACCATGTTCAGACCCATGTTCAAGCCCATGTTCAGACCCATGTTCAGAAATAAGGTTACCTTTGAAAAGTGACCTCCTAATACTAAATATGCTTTAGGAGGCTTAGGGTCGTACAGAAATAAGGTTACCTTTTATATAAAAGGTAACCTTAAAGGTAACCTTATTTCTGAGCATGCATGTGAACGTGCGTGCGTACATGCACATGAACGTGCGTGCGTGCATGCGTACGTACGTGCGTACATGCGTATGTGCGACCCCTTCGTGCGACCCCTTAATGCGCCCTCAACGGGGTGGGCCCGCCCTCAAAATTGCACGGGTTTCGAATACCAACAACTTTGTACCAGTATTCTTGGGTTGTATAAGTAGGTGTAAAATAATTTCGGCACAGGTTGACTGTACTAATTATCACCAGGCAAAACAAGACTAGTCGAATCGTTCGCCCGTCCGCTCGCCCCCCCGCTCGCCCCCCCCGCTCGCTCGTGCGGGCGACGTTCGTCCACCCGTTCGCCCGCATGTTCGCCCCTACGTTCGCCCCCCCGCTAACTCTTCGTGCGGTTTTCAACATATCCACGGCAGCGAGTTTTTGAGTTTAGCTAAACTATTACTACTACTACTACTAGTACTACTACTAGTACTAGTACTAGTACTACTAGTACTAGTTCTAGTACTAGTAGAAGCATTTGCTGCTGAACGTTATCAAAGAGCGAAAACCTTTACAACCGATAGGGGGCGACCCAGTTTTGCCTGTGGCAATGACAGGGAAACACATAATTTTGTCCGCTGCTCAATATCTGTTTTTTTCTGATTCTGTTTTGGGGCCCCCAAGGGCTTCATGTTTGATTCTGAAGGAGGCAAACTGTCCTTCATCTATCTGAACACCCCCGCATTTTCAGCCGGGAGAGAGCAATCCTCAGATCAGATCCGGATGCTGAGGGAATGTTGTTGATCCATAAAAAGTTGACCTAAGCTAGGCGTTTTAAAAACGTACATGGGGAGGACATGGTCTTACATTTGGGGAATACAAAACATGCAACGCTGCAACACCGTCATTTCCGATTGTTTTCATGAACCCTCACCTTCGAATTCATCGCAATGCGGCTCCACATGCAGGCCAGTGGTTTGTTGCACTTGCACTTGGCGCTGCATGCTCGATCGGACCGGGCCAGTTGCTGCAGAGTGACGGATACCTGCCGCAGGGGCCGAAATACACACAGCGTGTCGTAATGCTGTTTGTTTGGAAGTCTGGAACACCAATGCGAGTTGCAAATTGGTGAGATATGTTCTTTGTGTTTCTCTTCCGTGCCCCCATTCATGCAATAAATGGTGTCTGAAAACTTGGCACTCCACCAAGGTGGACATTACAATGAAGGAATTGGGGTTGTTTTTATACCAAACATGTGGTCATATTGGGGATGGTTTATGGCAGTTTATGGCGAGGTTTACCAGGTTCTGTGCAGTCAGTTTACATGTTCCAACAAGGCCCTCCCAGCCCCTTCCGCAGGACCCAGTGAGAGCGGCAGAGTGGCTACAAGCCCGCATCCCCAGAAGCCAACGCTGAAAAAAAGCAACCTTGAGAGTTCAAACCTGCATTCTCATGCGGGGAAGCATTCCAACTTAATTTTGTTTGATTGCTGGTGGTTTTTGATGCATGGCATAGGTTGATGTGGGAGAGGATCTTCCAGAATGTTGGGTCTATAATATCTTAAATCCTATATCTATTTATTCTGGTGTTCCTGAAATGTTTTTAGGTGTTTGATCTCTGGATGATGAGGTTTGGTGGCCTTTTTTGGGGTCTGGAATCCCCAGAAAGGGCAATTCTTGACAATTGTGAGGACTCGATATTGCTGTGATGGATGCCCTTTTATTCAAAAAACAAGAAAACAGAAGAGACCAGGTGTTTCTCGAAATCTTCTTTGTATCATGCCGAGGCCATTTCCCATTTGCATTTACGCAGCTTGTGCCTTGACTACGTCCTGACCTTGAATCCAGTCGGATCAGCTGGAGGTCTTATGAGGAACATGTGGTTGCAAGACATGACATGGTTTGTTGGCAAGAGGTGGCAAAAATGTGTATGGTTCAAAATTGCTGACCCTTCAAACTGTGTTGCTTGCTTTGCATTGCCAAATCCCAATTTCTTGGGGGCTGCAGTTGTCACCACGTGACGTTACTTTCAACCATCGATCGCCAGCGTCAAGCCCAAAAACTTCATTTGTATTGGTTGAAATCAGAAACCTCCAACCATATTCAACCAGCATTTGTTGCTTCATCATATGATCAGTCAAGCTTGCAGTCCCATTACGTTTTCTTTATCTTTTCTTCATATCACAAGATCATGTCTGACCCTGGCCCATGTTGACCAGTGCTGGCAACTCCGGATCATCGGAGGCCTGTAGCTTGGACGTGATTCAACTTCACGTCAGGCTTCTCACTGGTCCCTGCCACCCTGGGCCGGATGGGCAGGGAAGCGCGACAGCTGGTTTCAAAGCAAGTTGAACGCAGAAAATTCAAGCTAACGTTGCTTCATACTGCTTCAGCGCTAGTGCCCCACCAGACTCTACAACAGCAAGGCATCCTGGGCCAGGAAGCGGCCGTAAATTGTCCTTTCGTGCCAATAGATTGGTGTGCTGGGTGGTGTTGCGTGTGAGGAAATACCGTCTCTGACAGCGCGCATGCAATGAAAGGGGCCATGCCCCAACCTGCCCCCGTGCCTTGAAAGCTAGGCCCGGCTTGGTGGCCTTCGGTTCCGGAAGTGCACAATAGGCAATAGGCTTCAAACTTTGACTTTTGGTGGCGGGTTCGATCAGGGCCTCCAAGACTTCCAAGATATGTATTTGCCAAATGGTCTTCAGACCTTGGCCTCCAGTTCAACGCCAAATTGTCTTCAGACCTTGGCCCTTGGCCTCCAGTTCCAAGGTGTGACTTTGCCAGATGGTCTTCAAATTTTGGCATCTGGTGACGATTTCAACCAGAGATGTGACTTTGCCAGATGGTCTTAAAACATTGATTTTGTTCTTGCATCAGGGCCTTGACTGTGTGACTTTCCCAGAAACTCTTCAAACTGTGAACTTAAGAGCCAGTTTCAACCAGAGCCTCCAAGGTGTGACTTTGCCAGGTGGTCTTCAGACCTTGACCTGCAGCTGCAAGTTTGTTAACGAGAGCCTCCAAGGTATGACTTTGTAAGAGGGTCTTCGAACCTTGACTTTCGGTGATTCATTCTGCAAGAACCTCCAATGACTTGGCCAGGTGGTAGGTGTGACTTGGCCTCACGGCCTTGAAACCTTGACCTTTGGTGACGACTACGACCAAAGCCTGGAGAAAGTCATTTGGCCTAGCGCCCGTGTGTTTTTTCTCATCCCAATACGGCTTCTCTGGGTCAAAATGGTGACGGACTCCGCGTGCCATGGTCAACCGCGACAGGGTAGACCGAATCCCGATGGGCTATTGTCGCTTTTCCTGTCAACTTGTCGGCGAATAGAACCGATGTCAATCCACAGTTGGCTTACATGCCCATGCTTTGTTGTATGCTACGTAAAAACAAAGTAACAAAAATATTCAAAAACCAAGCCATTTTTGGTTATCATTGAAATTAAGATTTTGATAGCGCCGCAAAGCCCCGGCCTGCACCAAGGCTGCTCCATTGCTGTTGACTGAAGTGATCTCTGCCGTGCTTGGCCTGCGACCTCAGGGGTGTGGGCCAGCTGGTATGTTTGGATGGTGATGGTGGTTGCAGTTCCAGGTGTAATAAGATGTACATAATAAGTATTAATAAGTAAGTAAACGGTCATATTCTCATGTTCCTTCAACTTTGAGGGTTATAAGCGTCATCATCCGTTCCACATGGTTGCAAGTGCAGGGATAGGGGTTATATCTCAAGTCGCGGGGGCTCAAACCATGGTTGCATAATCATTAACATCATTTAACATTCCCAGAATGCAAGCAGCCAAAATGGAAATCATCAAAGACAATTTGTCAACAAGCATCGGGATTTTGAGCCAAAGCGCTTGGGTTTCAAGAGTTTGAAGTCTTAAACAAACAGGATGAAAAATATGTTGCAACTTCCCCTCTCAGCCTTGCGACAAGCATCAGTTGTTTCTTCTCTCCAGGGGTGCTGTTAGCAAACGCATTCTCCTGCCCCTCAAAGCAGCATACGGGCGTGGCGCCGGTATATTTTTGAGGATGAAGCACTATTTAAATATTACCTCGATGTCTCGAATCTGGGAAGCTTCGAACTACTTTCCTAAAGCATCATTTGATGATCCTGCGTCTCCCTTTCGTCATGGTGCCAACTTCCCGAAGTGTACAACCATGGGAGGGGACCATTGTTGTTCTTTCAATGACTCAACATGCGTTCCACTTAATGAGAAGCAACTAGCGAGTAGGGAATTACGTGTGTACGGCTTTTTTCGGTCGCGAAATCGCCCCCAAATACAATCAAAATTTGTTTAAGTTAGGTTACCTTCAACTTTCAACATATCGTTACAGCAACGAACCATGAAACGACAAACTGCCATCAACTTTGAAGTGCCTGTGGTCCCTCCATTGCTGACACCAAAAGGTGACGGAGGGATGGATGGCAGCTTGACATCTCTGACCATCCACGGATGTCAGTGGCCCCAGGGCCTCTACCGGGCCAAGTGTCCTTGGTGTCCTTAGTGACGATATCTGAAAGAATCCTGACGAAATCCTTGTCTTCGATCCTGTGTCTTGGATTATTTAGTTCAGTGAGTATGTCAGTCCAAACCCAGCACTTCTCCCAGGTTCTTCATGCTTTTTTCACCATTGAACATGTTCCATGGCCTTTCCAAGTGGAGTCGCTGCCAGGTCACGCTGTGAACGATGAAGCACTAGAGGAGCTGACGGTGAGTTTCGCGAGGCCCTGGGGGGCAGATCTCCCGGAATGGTTGCGAAGAGAAAAAGAGAAAAACCCACCAAGAAAATTCCGGGTATAGTAGCTTCCAAATGGATAGAAAGGTACTCCATCACTAGAACTTAGCCACATATTTTACACGTCTTGCTTGTTTGCGGGTTGCTGTGCGGAAAGCAGTTTTTTTTGAAACATTGCGAGATGAAACCGTGGATGTGGGGATGCTTTCCTTTTCTGACTGAGATGATTATTCTCAGCTATGTTATGTTTGAATCATGTTTGAATCAAACGGCCCGGCACTCTACTTGCTAGGCTGGAGCAAGTGCAAAGCTCGGACGGCGGCCGGGGTGGAGTTCACAACACACCAAAGATTGAAGCTATGACCAGCAGAAAAGCAACATGTCTGAAAGCGGAGTAGACCCCCAGAATTGCAAATTCAATCAAGAGAACGGTGGTTACCCAGTGGACTGCCAATGTAATTAAGTATTATCGCCCTATTTTCAGACAAACCGTGACCCCGTACTGTATAGGTGACAAGGTTGCGAGGTATTAATCTGCAAACAGTGGGTGTTTCCAAGAGATGTGGTCTGGATCCGCAAATTTGATCCCAAATTTGTAAGAGCAGGGAACACAACGAAGACGGCGCCATACACCGACGGTACAAACGATGCAAGCATACAAGTTTAAAAGGCGGACCTTATAGGGTGATCGCCAGGCTTGTTGAATTAGCACCATACATGTTTGAAAGCCAGTCTAGGAGCACACAAAGATGGATTTGTCTGAAAATGGAGGAGGCCTTCAACTGGTTCAATGCGGAAACTGATGGTAAACAATCAAAATTTGAGGTTCTCCCCTACATGTTCGAGACAAATTCAAAGAGAATTTCCAAGCCTTCATGTCTGAAACCTCACCCATGCAAGGTTCGTTTCTTCCCTGATTCCTGGCGTGGTGTTGGCACTGCCACCACAGAGGGGGTGCAGCTGATGGTTGGGGGAGCCCAGTGTGGTGTAAGCCGGGTTGAATCCAACCAGATGTTTTAAGCACCTGCAACTAGAGAGAAACCAACCTCAATGGAATAGGATATCCAAACATCTCCTAGGTATAAAACTGTGATGATCTGAATTGGTTTCCCCTCTTACCTTTAGGTGCGTCGCCAAGGTGGACCGGCTTCCCCTGCGAGGATTGGCGCTCAGCTCGTAACGGAACTCAGCGCAGGGATGGGGAAGAGCAGCGCGGAGGTTGGCTTCAAACTTCCCAAGTTTCATTGAATTCGTAGCGCTGAAGATGCTGATGTCATCTTGAACTAGGCACCTTAGGGGAGAAAAATTGAATAGAAATTGGAAGATCACCATCTTTTTTTCAGGCATATCCAAGTTTCAGACACACCCAGGTGGGTAAAAAACGGTTCACCCCAACAAGTTTAACTTAAGATTTCAAGCAGTGCCAAAGCTGAGCCAAGGCAGAACCCCATGGAGGCTGGGATGCCTCCGCCAAGGGGGCCTGGTTCGATCAAGCAACCACTTCAACAGCGGACCAAGCTGAGCAAATCCAATTGTCATGTCAGTGATGTGTGTTTTGGCTAATGTTAGTATATTTTTGTTGTCTTTCTGAAAAAGAATAAAGAATAACCGTTTATTGGATTTCTTGAATGTTTCACCTTGGGCTTGGCAACATCACGTCCCATCCAACTACATTCTCGCTGTCTGGCTCAACACCTCAGCACTGCAGCCATGGCGGGAGAGCGTTGCCAGCGGGGCAGCGGTGAGGAAAGCCAAGTCATGTTTGCGAATGCATCGCTTGGTGTCTAGGCAGCACAACTCTTGGCAGCCATGGCGTTGATTTCCTGCAGGGTTCCTCCATTGCTGAGATCCCGCCAAAAGGACCAGTAAGGACCTAAATGGCAGGATTGGGGTCTACACAGCTTTCTCCAACAGTTTTTAACCCCAAGATCGTAAATCTTTGTTTTCTAACTAGGTGGTTTCATTACACAAAAACGTGATTTACATGGCTTTCGGACACCTTACCCCCCCTCATATATGAACCAAGATTCAAAACGTCTCTTCCAGCCCTTGCGAAAGCCCCAACTGACCCAGGTACTAAATCAACCACATCCGTTTCTTTTATCAGGAAGTCAAATTCAATATCTACATTGGACAGTTATAGTTATTCAATATCCAGGTGAAAACATGTGGAAAGGATGTGGCTAGTATGGCATGGCTTGATATGGTATAAGTATGAATTTACATTGGTTGAGAGAGAGAGAGAGATAGGTAGATAGGTAGATAGGTAGATAGGTAGATACGTAGATACGTAGATAGATAGATAGATAGATAGACAGATAGATAGACATAGATAGGTAGATAGATAGATAGACAGACAGATAGGTAGATAGATAGATAGATAGACAGAGATAGATAGACAGAGATAGGTAGACATAGATAGACATAGACAGACATAGATAGACATAGATAGACATAGATAGACATAGATAGACATAGATAGTCATAGATAGACATAGATAGACATAGATAGATAGACATAGATAGACATAGATAGACATAGATAGAAAGATAGATAGATAAATAGATAGACATACATAGATAGATAGATAGATGGACATGGACATAGACATGGACATGGATATAGATAGACATAGATAGATATAGAGATATAGATAGATTAGATTAGATTAGATCAGATTAGATTAGATAGATAGATAGATAGACATAGATAGGTAGACATAGATAGACATAGATAGACATAGATAGACATAGATAGGTAGACATAGATAGGTAGACATAGGTAGGTAGATAGATAGATAGACAGATAGACAGATAGACAGATAGACAGTCAGATAGATAGATAGATAGATAGACAGATAGACAGATAGATAGATAGATAGATAGATAGAAAGATAGATACTATCAGGGTACATCGGTGCATGACCATTTTGTCACATTCTCGTAGCCATGTTTCTGGGGTCGTGAACAGGGGTGAAAAGGAGGTACCAGGCAAGCACAAAGAGAACACAGGATCATCTTGAGGACTGCATGCAGTTTGAGTGGAGCAAGCCTGTTGTTCGCCCGCCTTGAGTGCCATGTCCGCTGCTGATGCAAACGCCGCGGCAGCTGCAGCCCCACCGGCCGCGGCTGATAGGGTTGCTGTGCTGAAGGAAGAGCGCAAAAATTTGAAACGCCAGTTAGCAGCAGCCACCAAAGAACTACAGAACCAGGAGAGTGCATGTAAATGCATGGATACGGTGTCTTTTCGTGAGTGCAGGTGGGACATGTGAACGCTGAACCCATGTTGAAAGACATGTACTCCATAGCCTGCAGGAAAGGAAACGAAGACGTCTTCTACGACAAGCAGGAAAGCTGGATGTGAGTGATTTGACGTGGCTGCTGGCACGTCGCATGCATCCAATGGCAAGCCCGCATGAGTAGAGTCAAGCCGTGCACTATGTGGAAAGCGCCATGCCAAAGACATAGAGCGCTTGGAGTGAGAGCGGCCATGTGAAGGTTCGAAAGCACCATGCCAAAGGCATGGACACTAGGAGGGAAAGCTGGCAACCGCAGACTTGCAAGCGCCATGGTCAAGACATAGAGCGCTTGGAATGAGACCATGTCAAGGCTGAAAATCCCAATGCCAAAGGCATAGCGCGGCAGGAGTGAAAGCTGGAAACCGCAGACTTGCAAGCGCCATGTCGAAGACAAAGCGCTTGGAAGACATGCGCGGTCCAGAGACCCCATTTAGAAGACATCCAGGGATACAACGCTAGATAGACAAGATATCTCCCCAAGAATCTTCCCACACCCCACCTCCAAAACATCACCTCCCCAAGAATCTTCCCACACCCCACCTCCAAAACATCACCTGACCCCCCCTGGTATATTATTATAATTCCCAAACGGGGTATGCGGTCCCGCTCCTATAAATTCACAGGTAAAGTGGTCCCGCCGACGGCGGGACCGGTCCCGCCTGCAACCTGGAATCGTGGGAATTCCCACATTTTGCGGTCCCGCCGCGGTCCCGCTGCGGTCCCGCCTATAGTAATTGCGTACTGTCGCGCGCAGCAGCAACAGCAGCTTTAAGACATTACCCCCATGCACATCCTTCCCATTCCATCATTTGCAGCGGCCATGTTCCCACATCACATCTACCTCTTTTCCACCCCTTCTTCCAGCTTCCATTCCTTTTTTTTGCAGTGCTGTCGCAGCATGGCGTCTGTGGATCGCACGTGTGCGAAGCGGCAGCCGGAGAGAACTGCAGTCACGTCGGGTGAAAACATGGGCCGTGAGCGGTTTTGTTTCTGGGGCAGACCGTCTCTGTAGATATTGCTACTCAGACACGTGCCTCTACCAGTCACATTTCTCTAGCGGAAATCATCAGCAGCATTCCTGGGTGTCAACGGTCGACACGCTTTTTCCAGACCTGTGGGCCATATGCACGTCCAGCTGTTTGTGACAATGGAATCCTAGCAGACTATCTGCTCCATGTGCTTTTTTCATGCTCAAGCCTGTGACCTGCATTCTGCTTTAAGGACGTGGTGGTGAGTTCCTTGCTGTTTCTAGTGTCAAGCCCTCTCCAAAGGAAATGGGCCACCTGACAGCAAAGCGGGGTGTCGCAAGCAACTGACGTAGCACATCGCATTGGAGCCTTGCACCCAAGACATGCCATGCAGACAGGATGTTTCCGCATTGCACTTGGGCCGAGCCATGAGACCCTCCACGACACGGAAGCGTGCTGCGTGCGGGTCGTTGCGGGAACTGCTGCAAGCCAACCAGCTCGAGGTGCCGAAATTTCGGGGTGAATTGTCTCGCGCCGACTTTGCAGCGCAACGACAGCGCCTGGAGAACTGCACCTTGTCTCCGAGTGACACTCAGAAGCTGCGAGACATCATTGACCTCTATGAGGTGCCTCACCTGTTTGTCGGGTGCTAAAGACTGCGACCCGTTGTTCGGGTCACTTTTCACATTTCTCACCCTGCTGCGACTTGCTCAGCCGTCCTGGTTGGTGCTACCATTCGCTGGGTTTGCACGGCCTTCTGGTTCACACTGTTTCTAATCAGCTTTGCAGGGCGTTGCAGCAGCAGACGAAGCTGGTGCAGCAGCATCGACCCAAGAGGATGTGGATATGGCAGCAGCCCCAGGACCAGGTCAGACCGCAAGTAGTTGCCATTCTGTCCCTGCATCCGGGACGGTGCTTTCCGGAGGGTAAGAGACCTAGAGCAGTGGATGGACATGACATGCATCAGTGACAGTAGGCAAGCCTCAGCCTTGCATGCAGATGGGAGAGACTGAACTAGAAGGGGTATAGTCATGAGTCCTAGTCGCAGCCACTTCATTGTTGCACATTTTTCACAGGTGATGCCCGCCCTTTTCGTCTTCGAGCACGAGCAGTGTTGGTAACCTACAATTCCTTGCAGCTGCAGCTGGCGGATTTCGATGAGTTCCTTACTTGGCTTGCAACGTGTGAGTGGGTCGGCAAATGGAGTGCCACGATGGAATCAAGTTTGCGTTCGGAGGATGCTGGCCGTCTACATATTTATTGCTTCCTGGAATTCGCCCGCCCCGTCGACTGGCAATCATGCACGGCGCTCCGTTTCAAGGGCATTCAGCCCAATCTTTCCCCATGTCGGGCACGGGGCGCACGCTGGCGAGATGCGGCAGACCAAGGACATTTTTACGTTTGGGCTGCAAAGGTGCATCTCCGTTGGGTTACCTTGTAACGACATTCTATCTCATGTTGAAAGTTGCAGTTCATGTAGGCCACCTTTGTCACTAATCCGATCGTGTGGCAGCAGCATGACGTAGCTTCTAGTTGATCATCAGTAGACCTGGCAGCTTTGCAGCAGATCGTGTTTGCAGTCAAACATTTTGTAGGCCACCTTGGTCTGGGCACCCACGAGCCTGATTTGGATGAACTGAACTCATTGGACCGCTATCTACGTGGTTGGTCTTGCATAGGCAATCCTTCTTCTTTGTACGCATTGATTCAAGATTTATCACTATCGATATATCGAAATATATCTCTGCATATAAACATATATATGTGGTGATCCATCTGAAGGTCCTGATAACGAGTTTCAATTGCAAACACAGTTCATTTGTGCTGGGACCCCGCGCGAAAGTTTGTTTGCGAAACAGAAACTGTTTGCTTCGCGAAAGTGTCGCGAACGGTGGCTAGAATGCATCATCCTC